GGGGGGGTAGCCATAGCCAAGAAACATAATACTTAATTAGTCCACATTACACAGCCATTGAAGAGAGGAAAGGGTTGCCGTCGAAGAGACTGTGCACAATGAATTGTGTCGGCTTAGCTAATTCGCATTAACTTCACAGGGACTCCCGGGGGTGCGTATGCCCTCTTGGTCAACCTTAAACAAAAACGAAATGAAATACTAACATAAATCCATTTTTTTTTGGGGGGGGGAACAATTGAGTAGCGTTTACATGTCTGTGAATACCAAACCAAGCGGGAGTTATAACAACACTGATACCACGTCAAATCAAGTCATAGTCTGAACATTGGTTGCTTCATTTTCTGCCTCCACGGGAAATCATAGCGTAACAAAAAAGATGTCACAAAAGTATATTTTTATTTACCCTATATATTATATTATAATAACAGTATGTAAATATTTGTACTTCGTTTGACGCCAGAAATTATAGCAAGTCACATACGCCTTGCTCTATAAAATTATTAAATGTATAGCAAAGAACACTATGCAAAATTACCAGTTATGAGGTGATATTGTTAACACAATAAAAACCAGTCAGCTAAACAAGTCAGCCCTTTAAAAGCTCTATAACATGTAAAAAACAAGAGGTCTCTAGCATTTACGGTTCCAGAACTAGGGAGAATTTTCATTCTCGGCATCTAATGGCCGCTTCTTCCGTGAAAGTGCACCGATTTACCCCAAACTCGTGAATTAAAAGATGACCTGAAGAGTAACACCTGCCCTGAATATTATAGGTAAGGTCTGTGTAGTTTCTGAAAATCGGCACAAATTTGCAAAAAAATCCCACTTTTACAAAATTTTGGCCCATTCGACCTTGAAATTAAGCGCCGCGGTGGTGGTTCGTATATCTATCTATCTATCTATCTATCTATCTATACACATTACTGACAAACAATCAACAAAAATAAAAAGCGAAATAACTGTAAAAATGGAATGTATGTTAATACTGGTCAATAATAAAATAGATTAAAAACTATCAGTTGAGAATAAAACACTAAAGGAAGAGAATATAGCGATGCATAAACCTCGTGTAAAATTAGCGGACATTACAAGCACATGCATCACTCACTGATTTGACAAAACGGACAGTGCTCCCAGACCTGCTTGGATTATAACTAAAAAATCTAAGCTGAAAGAAGCTTAGTGTATTCAGATAATTCGTGGAATTTCCAAGAAAATGGAACTTTGCTTGAGCATCGCATCTAGATGTTTGCACATTTCCTGGATAAACAATATGGAGAAATGATATATAAAATGAAGTAATATGGCCGTCTGCCTAATTAAAAGTCACTTTAGTAGCATATTTCAAAATGTTATTCTAGTATTTTTCAACTTTTTTCTTCATTCTTCATCAAACCCATCTCTTTAGCTGATGTGTCAGTCTCTTTCATAGTAAACTTTGGGAGGGGGAGGCTCTCTTCACTCTATTCTTTTTCTTCCTTCTTCCCTCCCACCATCTGTTCACTGAGGGTCCACAGCTTTTTACAGGCTTCATCATCCAAGGCCTCGGCAGCAGGAGTGACTTCTTCCTGGTTGATAAAGTAACGCCCAGTTACTCCTGAAATAAAGTTGCCTTAATATCACAAGCTGATATCACTGCTGGACAAAACTAACTGCAATTGATGCTCAGAGGAAAGGGATTGCTGCCAGTTGTAGCAGGAATACCAATAATATATTTACTTTACCTTTTACAACATCACTGACAGTAAGTTGTACCAGGAATACCAATAATATATTTCCTTTACCTTTTACGACATAATATAATAATTTATAATAATTTATTTACTAAAATCGCAACCTAATAGGTTGAAGTTTTACAATGCGTCTTAAATAATAAAATCATAAGGTATTTTAAAATTAACTAAGAATTATAAACTAAACTAAAAGGACCAAAGACTTATAGGACAGTTTGAAGCAGTAATTTACATAAAATTTAAAAGACTGTGTATTATAAAAGATGATTTAAAACGCTCCGTTTTTACTTTTGGTATTAAAAATTTGTTGCTGACCCTGAGATTTCTTGGGTTCTTTTGTTTAAACAGATGGTGTAGCTTATTAAAATTCTTGATTTTTGTAAAAAAANAGGCCATTACCGTCTAGAAGGAGAAGCGGTAACGGTGACTTGGCGGCGGAGCCGCAGGAGCCGGCGGAACATATGGGTCGGGACTTAAACCATGTGTACCGCCAGCGCCTACGCTGGTGGTACAATTAAGTAACTTTGATAAAGTTCACTTACTAAACTTCGCCTTTACAATGTCGTGTGACTGTGATGCAGTGACGACTATTCTAGCATCCCCTTCAATAAGAGCTGTACTTTTCAAGTCATCAAGCAGCAGACTGGTCAGGAGGAAGTGACCTGGGAATTAAAGTTTTCAGATTACACTTTTGTCTTCATTTACATTTCACATAAACCACTAAAAGAATTCATTTCTAATAAACAGAAAGTGATTTTATTAATTACAATTAACTAATATTTCCATCCTTGTACAGCTTGCTTCTCTTACACCAGTTACATGTAATAATAATAATAATAATAATAAAAAAATAATAATAATAATAATTTTACATGAAATTTGAAGGACTGTGCATTATAAAGGATGATTTATAACGCTCCGTTTTCACTCTTGGCATTAAAAATTTATTGCTGACCCTGAGACTTCTTGGATTCTTTTCTTTAAACTGATGGTGTAACTTATTAAAATTCTTGATTTTTGTAAAATAGCTCTTAAATAAAACGTCTCTTCTCTCCCTCAGAGAGGTGAGATTACTAGCCTGTAGGGTAAACTTGTAGGTATAAAATGGGTAAATAATTCTAAGAGCTCTCTTTTGAACAGATTCTAAGCATTCACATTGTTCGGCTGTAAGACCAGGCCCCCACACAGGGCATGCATATTCTAGGACTGATCTAATTATTGATTGATATATAACTATTAGATCCTCAGTGGGCAGATTTGCCCTTTTCAACTGCCTGAGATAAAAAAAAGCTTGGCACAAGACTTGGAATAAATTAACTGCACATGTCCTGTCCACTTGAGATCAGAGGTCAGAGTTACTCCTAGTAGCTTAAAATTACTCACTTTTTCTACAATTTCTCCATCTACCAACAGTAGGTACCCAGAGGAAAAAATCTATTAGCTCACACATATATTATCTGAGCACTAAAATGTAATGGTTATACATGTAGACTATTTTCAGAGGAGCTCAAAGATTCATGTGCATTGATCTTTAAAGTTTGACATCTGGAGATTGAATATTTGTTTGACGGCAATTATTCAACAATAGCAAAAAACCTTTAGGATTAAGATGAAAAGAAAAAAAAACACAGAAACTCATATTTGAAAAAATGGAAAATGTAAATGCTAGGTGAACATTGTGACTGAAGAAACAAACGTGAATATGCATATTGTAAAATCATTTATGAGAACACCATGAAATTTTCATGAAGCTGAAAATCACTTACAAACAGAAAAAAACTTTGTAATTCACCCAAATTATCTGTTTCCATCATACAATTGTAACTTACCCAGTATGATTTCTTTGAAATTTACCCAAATTAGTTCCCATGGTAACTTACTAAATAATCTGATACCATAGTAACTCACCCAGATTTGTTCCCATGGTAACTTACCCAGATGATTTGTTGCCATGGTAACTTCAAAGCCATCCTGGGTAATCTGTGGTGTGTTGGAAGTGTTGCCCACATTCATTCCTGCATTGTTACATAGAACATGAAGCCTGCGTCCGCTGGCATGAAAATTCTCCACAAATTTGTGAACAGATGCCATACTTGACAGGTCCAACTAGAAATAAAATCACACTTGAAAGGGAAGCTTCAATTGGTAAAAACTGTGGATAAAGTCTTTCTTAAATTGTGATATATTTTCTTTTTGCCTTATTGAAGTGCAGTAAATATTACTTAAAAATTATCATCAATTAACTTCACAAGTGCTTCATTTGTTTTCATATGTAATATATCTGACATAGGCAATCACATTAATAAAAGGTCTCCACATGAAGTGAGACTTTGTCAACTTTGTAAACTGAAGTACTCACATTCATGTAGACCACATCTGCATTGGGGCTTTCCTCTTTGATGGTCCTCACAGCCTCCTGTCCTCTCTCCTCAGATCTACAGGCTAAGATCACTGTATACTTGTCTCCTGATCTACCCAGGATTCTGGCTGCTGCAAACCCAATGCCTGTATTGGCTCCTGTGATAATGATTGTCTTCTTACTCATACTGGGACTATAGACACTTCACAACTTGACTATACTGATAGCTGTAAGGGAAATAACATTGGCTTTAATATTTGATCAGGATTATAAAGTCAACTGGTCAAATCACTAATTAAGCAACCATGTTTTATATGGATATTTACTGCTTCTGTTCAGATATTGACATTACTCATAAGGCATCCTACAGCACTCATGTCCTGACAAAATGTCTCAGAAATAATCTTAAAAGGGATGTGACGTGGGTCATCAAGCATGTTGTGGTGTAGTAGTGTATGGGACATGGAGGATGGGACATGAAGGATGGGACACAGGATGGGACATGGAGGATGGGACACAGGATGGGACATGGAGGATGGGTACAGATGATGGGACATGGAGGACGGGACACAGAGGAAGGAACACAGAGAATGGGACAGAGAGGATGAGACATGGGAGACGAGACATGGGAGACGAGACACAGAGGTTGGGGNAGAAGGAGTTGACATGTGTATATATATATATTACCTGGACAGAAGCAGTTGACATGTGTATATATATATATTACCTGGACAGATGCAGTTGACATGTGTATATATATATATATTACCTGGACAGAAGCAGTTGACATGTGTATATATATATATATTACCTGGACAGAAGCAGTTGACATGTGTATATATATATATATTACCTGGACAGAAGCAGTTGACATATGTATATATATATATATTACCTGGACAGAAGCAGTTGACAGTGACATTGGTGCCTTCCAGTTTTTTGGCCAGTTCTCTGGTGAACATCACATTGGCCAGCTTGGAGTCCTTGTATGCCTGTGTGGAACTGAAGGGATCGGATGTAGTGTAGTTCATATCATCCCAGTTGGTTGGTTTAGTGCCCACTGAAATAAAGATGATGAATTTATCAGTACAGCCATTCACGTGGAGAGGATCAGACATTTAGTTAAAATCCTAATTAATTTATTAAGAAGCAGACCTTAGACTTAAACCATATGGAGAAGGACTGTACTGGAAGAAAGCTGGGGAACCATTCAACACCTAGCTCATGACAGAGAGCAGTAGAAGACCTTTGTTGGTGCCCTAGACGCCCCACAGCATAAAAGGAGATGGTAATTATAGTAGTAATTAATTTATTTTTTTGGTATGAAGCATGGAAAAACCACGGTTACAATTAAGTAACTTTGATAAAGTTCACTTACTAAACTTCGCCTTTACAATGTCGTGTGACTGTGATGCAGTGACGACTATTCTAGCGTCCCCTTCAATAAGAGCTGTACTTTTCAAGTCATCAAGCAGCAGACTGGTCAGGAGGAAGTGACCTGGGAATTAAAGTTTTCAGATTACACTTTTGTCTTCATTTACATTTCACATAAACCACTAAAAGAATTCATTTCTAATAAACAGAAAGTGATTTTATTAATTACAATTAACTAATATTTCCATCCTTGTACAGCTTGCTTCTCTTACATCAGTTACATGTAATAATAATAATAATAATAAAAATAATAATAATAATAATAATTTTACATGAAATTTAAAAGACTGTGCATTATAAAGGATGATTTATAACGCTCCGTTTTCACTCTTGGCATTAAAAATTTATTGCTGACCCTGAGACTTCTTGGATTCTTTTCTTTAAACTGATGGTGTAACTTATTAAAATTCTTGATTTTTGTAAAATAGCTCTTAAATAAAACGTCTCTTCTCTCCCTCAGAGAGGTGAGATTACCAGCCTGTAGGGTAAACTTGTAGGTATAAAATGGGTAAATAATTCTAAGAGCTCTCTTTTGAACAGATTCTAAGCATTCACATTGTTCAGCTGTAAGACCAGGCCCCCACACAGGGCATGCATATTCTAGGACTGATCTAATTATTGATTGATATATAACTATTAGATCCTCAGTGGGCAGATTTGCCCTTTTCAACTGCCTGAGATAAAAAAAAGCTTGGCACAAAACTTGGAATAAATTAACTGCACATGTCCTGTCCACTTGAGATCAGAGGTCAGAGTTACTCCTAGTAGCTTAAAATTACTCACTTTTTCTACAATTTCTCCATCTACCAACAGTAGGTACCCAGAGGAAAAAATCTATTAGCTCACACATATATTATCTGAGCACTAAAATGTAACGGTTATACATGTATTATAGACTATTTTCAGAGGAGCTCAAAGATTCATGTGCATTGATCTTTAAAGTTTGACATCTGGAGATTGAATATTTGTTTGACGGCAATTATTCAACAATAGCAAAAAACCTTTAGGATTAAGATGAAAAGAAAAAAAAACACAGAAACTCATATTTGAAAAAATGGAAAATGTAAATGCTAGGTGAACATTGTGACTGAAGAAACAAACGTGAATATGCAAACTGTAAAATCATTTATGATAACACCATGAAATTTTCATGAAGCTGAAAATCACTTACAAACAGAAAAAACTTTGTAATTCACCCAAATTATCTGTTTCCATCATACAATTGTAACTTACCCAGTATGATTTCTTTGAAATTTACCCAAATTAGTTCCCATGGTAACTTACTAAATAATCTGATACCATAGTAACTCACCCAGATTTGTTCCCATGGTAACTTACCCAGATGATTTGTTGCCATGGTAACTTCAAAGCCATCCTGGGTAATCTGTGGTGTGTTGGAAGTGTTGCCCACATTCATTCCTGCATTGTTACATAGAACATGAAGCCTGCGTCCGCTGGCATGAAAATTCTCCACAAATTTGTGAACAGATGCCATACTTGACAGGTCCAACTAGAAATAAAATCACACTTGAAAGGGAAGCTTCAATTGGTAAAAACTGTGGATAAAAGTCTTTCTTAAATTGTGATATATTTTCTTTTTGCCTTATTGAAGTGCAGTAAATATTACTTTAATTATCATCAATTAACTTCACAAGTGCTTCATTTGTTTTCATATGTAATATATCTGACATAGGCAATCACATTAATAAAAGGTCTCCACATGAAGTGAGACTTTGTCAACTTTGTAAACTGAAGTACTCACATTCATGTAGACCACATCTGCATTGGGGCTTTCCTCTTTGATGGTCCTCACAGCCTCCTGTCCTCTCTCCTCAGATCTACAGGCTAAGATCACTGTATACTTGTCTCCTGATCTACCCAGGATTCTGGCTGCTGCAAACCCAATGCCTGAATTGCCTCCTGTGATAATGATTGTCTTCTTACTCATACTGGGACTATAGACACTTCACAACTTGACTATACTGATAGCTGTAAGGGAAATAACATTGGCTTTAATATTTGATCAGGATTCTAAAGTCAACTGGTCAAATCACTAATTAAGCAACCATGTTTTATATGGATATTTACTGCTTCTGTTCAGATAGTGACACTCATGTCCTGACAAAATGTCTCAGATATTGACACTCATGTCCTGACAAAATGTCTCAGATATTGACACTCATGTCCTGACAAAATGTCTCAGATATTGACACTCATGTCCTGACAAAATGTCTCATGTGACATGGGTCATCAAGCATGGTGTGGTGTAGTAGTGTATGGGACATGGAGGATGGGACATGAAGGATGGGACACAGGATGGGACATGGAGGATGGGTACAGATGATGGGACATGGAGGACGGGACACAGAGGAAGGAACACAGAGAATGGGACAGAGAGGATGAGACATGGGAGACGGGACATGGAAGATGAGACACAGAGGTTGGGGCATGAAGGTCGGGGCATGGGGGATGGGACACAGAGTTTGGGACAGAGGATGGGACATGGGGAATGGGACACAGAGGTTGGGACATGAAGGTCGGGACATGGGGGATGGGACACAGAGGTTGGGACAGAGGATGGGACATGGGGGATGGGACAAAGAAATTTAATTTGAGCCTTGCAACATACTCAAGTTGAGAGTCTCAAAAAATGGTCAAACCCGCCCTAGGAGCAGAAGGCTAGAGGGACTAACCTAGCAGTCAAGACTAAGGTAATAACCTGTTCACCTTCACCTGAACAATTAATTCAGTTGTGACCAAGTCTGTCAGAGTGAACATACAAACAGTCAACAGGTAAATCAAATTTCTGACAATCAGAACTGAGATTTAATGAAACTGTTTTCACATACTCAAGATGATATATTTTGCAATATTGCTGTGATAAACACTAGTGGGCCTGATTTGGTATTAAAGTGCAATTTAAGTCTAAAACTAGCTGAAGCAATCTTAAAGATTAAGTAAGGACTCTTAATTTGATCTTAAGACTAAAAACGAACTGAAACTCCAGTGTGCAAGACTATAATTGGTCTAACTTCAACTGTAGTGGCAAAGTAATTATCTCCTCTCACACATCCAGTCCAAAGTGAGTACCAAAAGGGTGGTCTCTTGTCAATTAAGTGTTAAAATTGCCTAATTGCTAAACTTTTCATTATGGTGCTACATTTACTCAAATGAATTCTTAATTCTTACACTAAAAATTTACATTTGAGTAAAGATTTCATGATCATTGCACTAGGTAATGAACAGGTTTTCTAGACTTGAAATATCGTTTTAATTGATAATTAGAGTGGAGATAAGGTAATTAAGGTTCATTTCTGTCACCAGGGCCATTCCTTTAAAGAGACTTACAAAGCAGATATTTACATTGCTCTTGAAAAAGGCTTTCAGAATATATATATATATTCACAATGCTTGTTCAAATTTCACAAAGATTTTTCTAAGGAAACCCACACGGCAGTTTAATTACCCTATGTAACACAAATTATACCAGTTCAGGGCACATGACCTTATATGACCCAGATCCAGTTAGCAGAGACCCAGTACTGTTGTACATACATCCCAGTATTTGGGGGGGGGGGAGAAACTACAGGCTGCCAAATAATACCCTGCACATAATGTATCCTTCATCTCCTAATTTGGAAAAATAATAAAAATAATAAAAAATAATCAAGATAGGGTGCAACTGTTCTTCTACTTGTACATTGCCATCACTCAATTCAACTTCAAATTGTAGTTCTCAAATTGTAGTACAGTGTAAATATATTATAATGAAAAAGAAACTTGGTTAGTTATACCAATAAATTCTCCTGAAGATGTCAGCAAGGCCAAGTATACTCGCAGACCACCGGCAGATCTGCTGCACTCACTACTGGAGAAGATATAGTAACAACACTGGAGAAATAACTCCAATTTAAACCACGGCTAGCACGTAGAACAAAAGACTCGGCCGTGCTGTATTTGACATACAAGCACGTCAAGTACGAGTGCGTTCCACGGTCTGTTGCACTACTAGTGTAGTAGCCAATCAGAGGCCGTGGTTTAAGCCAGATACAACACTTGTCGCCGAGCTGTACGTGAAAATTACTCGGCGACTCGTATTGTATCTATCACACAGATACTCACAGCTAGACTACCACTGGCAGGTCAGCTGCACTCACTACTGCAAAGAAATAACAACACTGGAGAAATAACTCCAATTCACGCAGCCTGCGCGGTGACTCAGCACTATATTTAACCAGCTGCATAAGAAACCCTTCACCTTTTGTAACAACACAACAACAGGTATGTGTGACCCAGTTACTGATGTGATTATTGACCTGATTTACTACTGGTACATGTCCTAACGTGAGGAATCCACATCACAGATCAATAAATGAATACACTTATTGAGAAATGAGTAACAGACAACGGGAGGATGTGTGTGTGTGTAGGAATTTATTATATATAATACATAATGAAAATCCCAATATGTGAAAAATGATGACAGTGCATAAAATAATATTACATATTGTTTAAAGACATAAAAACCAATACAACTGCTCATGTGGAAATACAGAAAATGCACAGAGCTTCTGGTGGATGGGAGTTAAAAGTCACATCTTGAAGATGTTAGTGTTTGAAAAATAATTTTAAAAAAATCTAAAATAAAACAACAAAAAATTCCAATAAAGCTGTTATTCAAACTTTAACTCTAGCTTATTAACATGATATGAATAACCCTATTGAGATTCCTCTATAGTACTGCATTAATGTTTGCGTTACATAATTTTTTTCTTTTGTAAACTTATTTACAATACTAAACATTTACCTGCATAATTATCACAACCTCCAGTGTTGTCTCGCCAGAAAATTCAATAAAACTTCTTGGGCAAAAGTAAGTTAATTTTCACTGTGTAGAACTGGAATGCAATCTTAGAGAGGTTTGCAGTGCGTACCTACTGGTCTATATTGTCCCATTCGGATCCATTTCTATGTTTAGTAGGACCCTCCATCCAATACCGTTCCACCCCTAAATTTTCGATATATTTGCTTATTGATTGATTATTGAACCGGATCACCACCAAAAACTAATCATCTGTTCCTTGGCCCACTTCTGACAGTAGGCCTACCTGAAAATTTCATCAAAATCGGTCCATAACCTTTTGAGTTATAATTGATGACAGACAGACAGACAGACAGACGAACAAACAGACAAACAGGGGCGAAAACATAACCTCCTTGGCGGAGGTAATAATTTCCACAAAGATGAAAATCTACTCACTGTAACATACGATATTCACCTTCAAACTGGAATATAATCGTTCTCTATCTCCCTACCCTAGGTTCTAGATTTCTGTATTGCCAGCTCGATCTTGATTTCATATATATATAACCCATATCAGCAATACGAAACTCTAGCCACTAGCGGCAGATTGAGGGCTTGTCTGTCAAAATTTTTCCTGGGCGCTTCCATATTTGGGAGTCACAAATCTCGTACGTTGTTTGTCAAAATTTTTCCTGGGCCGCTTCCATATTTGGAAGTCACAAGTCTATTACGTCACAACTGTATCCGCCTGAGCTCCATATTTGGAAGTCATAAGTCTCGTAGGCCCTACGTCATAGGTTTGACCGCCTGGAGATTACTTTCCGCCCTGCGCTGATGTTATCTCGTGCAGACGAGACAAGAAGCAAGTGGCTGATGCGGAGTTTGAAGTTTGAACTAAGACTATCTTGCACTCGTACCACAACACAGGCACCATTCTGCTTTAAAAAGTGATTTTGATCTGGCCATTGCGCAGCCCTTATAGTGGTATCGGGCATACAGTGTAGCTGTCAAACTTGGCACAGGGCAAGCACGTGTAGGTTTATTGTGTTGTGTGTTGGGGGTGGTCGGCTCATGTCCTAGTTAGATTCCACTTTACCAAAATAACACGATTCAGAGCTGGGCCTCTGAGGACGTGTGTTTTGACAGCGCCCCTTGCAGAGTTGAAAGTGGCACTTAGAGTGTGTTAGGCTTCTTGCCTCTAGATAATGTGAGAAAAAATCGTCTCTGATAGGAAGGTAGGTGTCTCGCCTGCCTAGTATGAGATTTATACATGCCTATACGTCCCCGCATCGATACTTTCCCGCACCGATACTCCGGCCCCCACAATTACAGATAATATACTGAGGGGTAGTATCGGTGCGGGGATCTATCGGTGTGGGGTCGTATCGATGAGCATAATACAAACAATTACTAAGGGGGATTATCGGTGCGGTGGAGTAACGGTGCTGGGGAGTATCGACATGACCCCCCCCCCCCCTTCATCAGCTGCATGAGTCCCAGATAAAAAAGAGCAAATGTTCTTTGATAAGCAAAAAATACAAAGACATCGGATATATCTGTTTCTTTTAGAATAATATTATTTATTTTTTCCTTTTTCATCTTAAATACAGTAAATAAAATTTAATTAAGCAGAATTAAATCTATTTTACGTTTCATTTTGGTTTAATTACATTCAACTGCAGATTCACCGCGGAGCAGTTCTTTTGATTGAGCTAGTAAAAGCGATCCATCACAAGATTTTTAACAAGCTAGCTTTTACTGTGCCCTGACACAAAATTGGCATAACTTTTGAATGGAGTAAAATATCAATTTGAAATTTTCTGGAAAGTTGAACTATGCCAAGAAGAATCTGACAAGATATAATTTTCTGTAATTTATCAATAGCGGTCAATTTTTTTTTTCAACCTGAAGGCTTCAGCATCACTGCCCAAAGGCTACTTTTGAATGAAAATAATTCTAAAAAATGTGCCATCGCTAAAAACAAAAATAATGGCTTCTAATGTATCTGTTGCTACGGAAACCGTCATTATGATAGCTGTTGCTATGGTAACAATTTGGATTATATGTACACATCATGGATTTTTAACTGAGTGGGAAACACTCTTGGTACTCAATTTATGAATTTAAGTTAAATAGTTAACAAATGCCATGCAACCAATATTACAATGGCAATTGCATAGACGATTTTAAGGTTAAACTTGTAAAAAATGCCAAAATGCACAATGAAAATAAGTACATGTAGGCTAATATCCGATTTTGGTTAGTTATCAGTTTACCAATAAATTTAAATTGATATTAGACATCATAGCAGCTAGGTAATACAAAAACCAGCGAGATTTTTTGGAGAGACTGGCATGACGTATTGGCAGTTTTAGGAATTTTCCTTTTTTATTTTTGTTACGAAAATAAATGAATGAATAAATACTACTTTTGTTCACTTTTGTTTGACTGTCATTAACCATTCTAGAGTTATTGCATATCTCCATGATTTAAATTAAGATTCCCCTTTTTCTGACCACTAACGAGTTCAAAGGTGAAAAAAAGCATTAGGCTCATCAATATCGTACGTAATTTCATACTTTGTTTGAAAAATAAAATAAACTATATATTCTTGAATTGCGGACGTTTTATCAATATCCTTGGGTTTCGTGAACAAATCAAAGATTTTCCGGTTAGGTACTCTGATATCTTGATCCTCTTTAGGTGTTTAAAGTGCAGATGCTTTTTCATCAGCAGAACAGCTTGGTGAGTCCGCGGTAAGATCAAAGTCACTGATTTCCTAATGGCTGTTACGGCTCTGTCTTACCAAAAATTGATAAATAAAAAACTAATCTGAACCTAGAATTAGCTAAAATATCTAGGCAGGGGTTACAGAAGTTTCAGAACTTCGCTACTCTAACTCAAAAACACGATTTAAAACTTTACGAGCTAGTTGTGGTTGCTCTTTTTGGTTAAATCGCCTTCTGTAACCCCTCGGCCGAACGGTTGTTTCATTCTCTGCATGATTTTGCGGTCAAATACGAGGAAATAACATCCGGGACGCCGTACGGAGCTTTAGGAAAAATGTCGCGAAACGCGCAGGTTGAACAAAGTTCGTAAACAGTGGGAACCAAACAAGGAAGTGAATTCACTGGGACGTACGGATAAAATTTAGTCCCAAAATATTACACGTCCCTATACTCCCGTTACCGATAGAAACATAGGGGGAAAAATTGAAAAACGTCTTTTTAGATTTAAATACCGAAAGATCCGATTTTTTACCACCGTCCTAGTACATTTGCGTTCCTATAGATACGATGTCCAATTAAACCCACGTATTTATAAATCCACATACCACGTATTTTTAGATCCAAATACCGATAGATCCATTACAGGTACAGGTACACTATTGCTCAAAATGGTTGGTATACTACTCAGTGCATGAAATGCCCTTTTTAAAACGACAGTACACATATTAATCCCTTCAGCAATTTATTATTCTACTAGATCGTTTTTACGCAATACTCGGGTAATTTACATTACTAATGCATTTTCTGACAGAAATTTATTATTTCACTAGTTTTTTTTTTTTTTTTTTTTTTTTGGTATATTTATGTTACATTTATTTAGTTTTGATTACGAAGGCTTCTGACTGACAGGAACCTAAGATTATATTTTCTTTTCATTGCGATTAAAGATGCATACAAAGTCTATTTTTTGTCACAAAAACCAACCAAATGCCAGCATATAGTTTTAAGTAGTATAACTAAGAGAATTACCAAAAGGCATTGTTTAATTTTACCCGTTTGAACGGATTTTTCTGCTGGCATTCTAAGCTGTATGTCAATGGGGCAGGAAAGTAGGTCACGAAAGTAGGTTAAATTTACAACCAAAAATTTAAAGAAAGGAGCAGTCTAAAGGTCTTTTATGACTGATCGAGTGATCTATTCAGTTTATCCCTTGGCATGTCGAATTTATTAGAGTCGTATAAGAAACTAGTAGAAGTGGTTTACATGTGTTACTGGGAATCCACGCTCCACCGATGCTCGGTTCGTATGTACCTTTAATCCCAGAAACACACACACACACACACACACACACCACCCCCGTCAATTAAAAACCCTGCAAAAGTTGATGAAATAATGTTAAGAGTTTTACAAGTAAACCCTTCTTATTTTGTTTTATTTTATATTGTGTATGATTTATGTGGGCATTTGCATGAATTATTCTGCCTGATAAATGTCTTGTATACTTGATAGAAACCATTCCTGTATGCTTGACAAACATACCTGAAGTTTACAGGCAGAAATCCGCGTTAATTATGTATAGAAGTTATTTACATTGATGAAGTTATGTGCGTACATTGCTGAATGTAGTAAATGATAGTAAATGGTTGACGTGTAGACGCGAACGTACATGTATGTCTTGTTTGAACACTGTAGAAGTCACGTCTACACGAGCAAATATAACGTTAATACGGCGTTGGGTCAGTACTCGCAGTCAGACTGTCACTCGAAAGCCTCATACCTGTATCTCAAGTTGATATCGGCATTTTAGCTGATTACGATGTCAGATAGTTGGATCTAGCGGTACCTGGATCCAAAGAGGACGTTTATCTATATGGCGGACCCCAAATCACCGGCGATTTCTCGCAGCATTTTCGTGGCTGGAGGCTTACAACGGAGAAATGATATACATTGTTACACATATTGTTAGAACGCACATTCAATGCACTTTTTAAATATATTTTCATATTTATCATAGGGCCCAAATCTTGGGAGTTATGATGGAAAACAAACAGCGAGTTTAGATTTTTCCCGTTTTCGACCGCGTGCGCGGTGTGACCTGACCTCACTTAACCCCTTGGGTACCCTTCACCAAGGTCTCAGAATAAAGTTTTACAGTGGATATTCGCAAATATTTCACTAACTGTACACAATTGTGTTAAAGATTTTTTTTACGCAGTCAGCTGACAGCTGGTAGAGAATGACCCTTGGTGGTGGGGGGGGGGGGCAGGTGAGTTGTCTCATCTTAAAAATACCAGCAAATCAGCTTTGTTATTTCAATTTGTATACATATAAACAAAAGCTTGAAATAATACATTGCCACTGTCTATCACAAACAAAGCTACACATTAAAATAGTAGGTTACACATTTTATTCACACTTATTTCATATATAGCTCTCATTTTTATCCACATAATTTGCAGTTTATGTCAGTCCACTACATCATCACTATTCTTTTAATCTCAATACAATCACAAATGTCCAAACAAAACAGGAAATCTACTAATTAAGTGTGTGTCATAGATATCTAAGCCACCGGACTATATACAACACTGTTCAAGCTGCCTGGATTCATATAATCACCATATGAGGGTTGGTTATGTAAACACCCTGGTAATAAAGGGAAAGGCACTTGTGTCCAGACTACAAAGTCTGGCTTATATACTTATACATAGCTTTAAAACCCAGTTACAAGCTTTGAGGATTCCTTCTCCACAATATCTGCACTCTATATGTACTGAGTACTCTTGGTCTAAGTCTGAACATTGGTTAATTCATGTTCTGCGTCCACGGGAAATCAATGCTTAACTAAAAAGATGTCACATATATATTATATATTATTTTTATTTACCCTGTGTATTACATTATAATAACAATATGTAAATATTAGTACTTCGTGAAATCATAGCAAGTCACATGCGCCTTGCTCTATAAAATAAACCAAATGTATAGCAAACAACATTATGCAAAATTACCAGTTATGAGGTGATAATGTTAAAACAATAAAACAAGCCAGCTAAAGCTGACAGATATACATGTACAGTCTGCTAAGACTAAAGCATGTGTGTTAAACATAAGACAATAAAACTGTGCAGAAATGATCTGATTATCCTACTACATGTATCTGATCAGCAAAAACCATGGCAACCTCACAGTCGATTCCTGCCACGTAATAAGATTTTTATTTTATTTTATCTAGTACAGTATTTGAAGTTATAACGTCTTAAACATTACATTGGAAGCAATGTCCCCAACACATAATGATGGCACATTTAAAAATAAAAATTTATCTATATTTATATATATATTACTGCAAAACAATTTACAAAAATATCAAGTGGAATGTAAAAATTGAATGTTGTTAATACTGGTCAATAATATTATAGATTTAAAACTATAAACAGAGAGTAACACAGTAAAAGAAGAGAATATAGCAATGCGTAAACCCCATGTAAAATAGGCGGACTTACAAGCACACAGCTATTGATTTGGCAAGGTGGGCGGTGCTCTTACACCTGTTTTGGTTATTTCTCAAATATCTAAGCTGCATTGAAGGGGTATATATATAAGTGTATTTAGAAAAACGGATGCAATTTCTAAAAAAACGAAAATTCTATAATTTGACAAGACGGGCAGTGCTTCTATACCTGCTTACATTATACACTTGAAGCTAAGACATCTTAGCTGTAATGGGCTTACATTAGTGTATTCAGATAATTGATGGAATTTCAAAGAAAATGGTATTTTGCCTGAGCATATATAAATATAATAAAATAATATATAAAATAAAATAATGTGGCCGTCTGCCTAATTGAAAGGCACTTCAGTATCATATTTCAAAATATTATTCTAGTAATTTTGCTTGAGCATATATAAATAAAATACAATAAAATAATATATAAAAATATAATAATATGTTCATGAGCTAGTTGTTGAATGGCTCCCAGCTTTCTCCAAGTTGTTTCAACTCTACTTCGACAGTCACTTTAGTATCATATTTCAAAATATTATTTTAGTATTTTTCAACTTTTTTCATTCTTCATCAAACCCATCTCTTTAGCTGATGTGTCAGTCTCTTTCATTGTAAACTTTGGAAGGGGTAGGCTCTCTCCACTCTATTCTTTTTCTTCCTTCTTCCCTCCCACCATCTGTTCACTGAGGGTCCACAGCTTTTTACAGGCTTCATCATCCAAGGCCTCAGCAGCAGGAGTGACTTCTTCCTGGTCAATAAAGTAACGACCAGTTACTCCTGAAATAAAGTTGCCTTAATATCACAAGCTGATATCACTGCTGGACAAGACTATTGCAATTGATACTCAAATGAAAGTGATTACCGCCTGTTGTACCAGGAATATAAATAATATATTGACTTTACCATTTACAANCGTCTTTCATATATAGCTCTCATTTTTATCCACATTATTTGCAGTTTATGTCAGTCCACTACATCATCACTATTCTTTTAATCTCAATACAATCACAAATGTCCAAACAAAACAGGAAATCTACTAATTAAGTGTGTGTCATAGATATCTAAGCCACCGGACTATATACAACACTGTTCAAGCTGCCTGGATTCATATAGTCACCAACCCCCTTCCAAATTGGGACTGGAGTTTAAAAACTTTAAGAGGGTTGGTTATGTAAACACCCTGGTAATGAAGGGAAAGGCACTTGTGTCCAGACTACAAAGTCTGGCTTATATACTTATACATAGCTTTAAAACCCAGTTACAAGCTTTGAGGATTCCTTCTCCACAATATCTGCACTCTATATGTACTGAGTACTCTTGGCCTAAGTCTGAACATTGGTTGATTCATGTTCTGCGTCCACGGGAAATCAATGCTTAACTAAAAAGATGTCACATATATATTATATATTATTTTTATTTACCCTGTGTATTACATTATAATAACAATATGTAAATATTAGTACTTCGTGAAATCATAGCAGGTCACATGCGCCTTGCTCTATAAAATAAACCAAATGTATAGCAAACAACATTATGCAAAATTACCAGTTATGAGGTGATAATGTTAAAACAATAAAACAAGCCAGCTAAAGCTGACAGATATACAGTCTGCTAAGACTAAAGCATGTGTGTTAAACATAAGACAATAAAACTGTGCAGAAATGATCTGATTATCCTACTACATGTATCTGATCAGCAAAAACCATGGCAACCTCACAGTCGATTCCTGCCACGTAATAAAGATTTTTATTTTATTTTATCTAGTACAGTATTTGAAGTTATAACGTCTTAAACATTACATTGGAAGCAATGTCCCCAACACATAATGATGGCACATTTAAAAATAAAAATTTATCTATATTTATACATATTACTGCAAAACAATTTACAAAAATATCAAGTGGAATGTAAAAATTGAATGTTGTTAATACTGGTCAATAATATTATAGATTTAAAACTATAAACAGAGAGTAACACAGTAAAAGAAGAGAATATAGCAATGCGTAAACCCCATGTAAAATAGGCGGACTTACAAGCACACAACTATTGATTTGGCAAGGTGGGCGGTGCTCTTACACCTGTTTTGGTTATTTCTCAAATATCTAAGCTGCATTGAAGGGGTATATATATAAGTGTATTTAGAAAAACGGATGCAATTTCTAAAAAAACGAAAATGCTATAATTTGACAAGACGGGCAGTGCTTCTATACCTGCTTACATTATACACTTGAAGCTAAGACATCTTAGCTGTAATGGGCTTACATTAGTGTATTCAGACAATTGATGGGTTATACACTTGAAGCTAAGAAATCTTAGCTGTAATGGGTTAACAATAGTGTATTCAGACAATTGATGGGTTATACACCTGAAGCTAAGACATCTTAGCTGTAATGGGTTTACAATAGTGTATGCAGATAATTGATGGAATTTCAAAGAAAATTGTATTTTGCCTGAGCATATATAAATATAATAAAATAATATATAAAATAAAATAATGTGGCCGTCTGCCTAATTGAAAGGCACTTCAGTATCATATTTCAAAATATTATTCTAGTAATTTTGCTTGAGCATATATAAATAAAATACAATAAAATAATATATAAAAATATAATAATATGTTCATGAGCTAGTTGTTGAATGGCTCCCAGCTTTCTCCAAGTTGTTTCAACTCTACTTCGACAGTCACTTTAGTATCATATTTCAAAATATTATTTTAGTATTTTTCAACTTTTTTCATTCTTCATCAAACCCATCTCTTTAGCTGATGTGTCAGTCTCTTTCATTGTAAACTTTGGGAGGGGTAGGCTCTCTCCACTCTATTCTTTTTCTTCCTTCTTCCCTCCCACCATCTGTTCACTGAGGGTCCACAGCTTTTTACAGGCTTCATCATCCAAGGCCTCAGCAGCAGGAGTGACTTCTTCCTGGTCAATAAAGTAACGACCAGTTACTCCTGAAATAAAGTTGCCTTAATATCACAAGCTGATATCACTGCTGGACAAGACTATTGCAATTGATACTCAAATGAAAGTGATTACCGCCTGTTGTACCAGGAATACAAATAATATATTGACTTTACCTTTTACAACATCACTGACAGTCAGTTGTACAGGAATACCAATAATATATTTACTTTACCTTTTACGACATCACTGACAGTCAGTTGTACCAGGAATACCAATAATATATTTACTTTACCTTTAACAACATCGCTGACAGCCAGTTGTACAATGGCGTTTCCACCCTGGTGCAGACTGTGTCCAAGACAACCACAGCAGCAGAAAGCAAAGTTGTACAAGCACTTGATACAGCCGACGATATTTCGACCAATTTGGGTACGAATCATTCCTAGAAGAAAGAATACATCCCCATTAAGTCATGCATTGTGACACTTTCAGAGGTTTGGGTACCAAAGTACCTTATTTGATGAAAAAACCATGGAATGAATTACATCACTTCTCCAACCACCATGTAACTGAAAAGTGGCAGATTCTGTACAATTTAGTTTAAGATCAAGACTATTATGACCTTTGACCTGTACTCATTTTGACCTTTGACCTGCCCTACTAACGACCTCTAACCCGTCCTCATTACGACCTTTGACCTGTCCTCATTTTGACCTTTGACCTGTCCTACTAACGACTTCTAACCCGTCCTCATTACGACCTTTGACCTGTCCTCATTTTGACCCTTGACCTGTCCTACTAACGACTTATAACCCGTCCTCATTTTGACCATTGACCTGTCATCATTGTGACCTCTGACCTAACATAATTATATGACCTTTGACCTGTCTTTTTTATGACCTGTGACCTTCCGTCATTACAACCTTTGACCTGTCCTCACTACGACCTTTGTCCTTTCCTCATTATGACCTCTGACCTGTCCTGATTTTTTCAGACATGTGTATATTACCTGGACAGAAGCAGTTGACAGTGACATTGGTGCCTTCCAGTCTCTTGGCCAGTTCTCTGGTGAACATCACATTGGCCAGCTTGGAATCCTTATATGCCTGTGTGGGATTGAAGGGACCGGGTGTAGTGTAGTTCATGTCATCCCAGTTGGTTGGTTTAGTGCCCACTGAAATATAGATGATGAAGTGACCAGTAGCCAAGCATGTAGAGAGGATCAGATATTTAGTTAAAATCCTAATTCATTTATTAAGAAGCAGACCTAAGACCTAAGACCACATGAAGAAGGACTGTCGAAGTAGAGTTGAAACAACTTGGAGAAAGCTGAGGAACCATCCAACACCTAGGTCATGACAGAGAGCAGTGGAAGACCTTTGTTGGTGCCCTAGACGCCCCACAGAATAAAATGAGATAGTAATTAGGGGAATACTATTGTTTTTGGTATTATTATTATGATTCTTTCCACGCATTTTTTTTTTTTCGCAAAAAATATGAAATAATTCTAGGTAGCCTATGGTAAGAATATGCCATTAACCCAGTTTCAGTGACCTTGACGTACTTTTCAAGGTCACAGGAGCTTTTAAAGGCAAAATTTTTAAATTTGAAATTGCCATTAGGCCTAAAGTATAAGCCATATGGCTAAGGGCCTTATGGCCAATAATACTGAGCTAAATCCCCAGATATTGACCTACTTTTATGCAAGTAGATCAAAATCAAGGTCGCTAATGGCCAAGCCGGGTCAAAACAGGTTTGTTTCCGAGATCTCAAAAAAACTGATGGCCCAGGACCCTGATNTATATGTGTATATATATATATATATATATATATATATATATATATATATATATATATTACCTGGACAGAAGCAGTTGACATGTGTATATATATATATATATATATATTACCTGGACAGAAGCAGTTGACATGTGTATATATATATATATATATATTACCTGGACAGAAGCAGTTGACATGTGTGTATATATATATATATATATTACCTGGACAGAAGCAGTTGACATATATATATATATATATTACCTGGACAGAAGCAGTTGACAGTGACATTGGTGCCTTCCAGTCTCTTGGCCAGTTCTCTGGTGAACATCACATTGGCCAGCTTGGAGTCCTTATATGCCTGTGTAGGATTAAAGGGATCGGATGTAGTGTAGTTCATATCATCCCAGTTGGTTGGTTTAGTGCCCACTGAAATATAGATGATGAAGTGACCAGCAGCCAAGCATGTAGAGAGGATCAGACATTTAGTTAAAATCCTAATTAATTTATTAAGAAGCAGACCTAAGACCTAAGACCACATGAAGAAGGACTGTCGAAGTAGAGTTGAAACAACTTGGAGAAAGCTGAGGAACCATTCAACACCTAGCTCATGACAGAGAGCAGTGGAAGACCTTTGTTGGTGCCCTAGACGCCCCACAGAATAAAAGGAGATAGTAATTAGGGGAATACTATTGTTTTTGGTATTATTATTATGATTCTTTCCACGCATTTTTTTTTTTTTTTTTTTTTTTTTTTGCAAAAAATATGAAATAATTCTAGGTAGCCTATGGTAAGAATATGCCATTAACCCAGTTTCAGTTACCTTGACGTACTTTTCAAGGTCACAGGGGCTTTTAAAGGCAAAATTTTTTAATTTGAAATTGCCATTAGGCCTAAAGTATAAGCTATATGGCTAAGGGCCTTATGGCCAATAATACTGAGCTAAATCCCCAGATATTGACCTACTTTTATGCAAGTAGATCAAAATCAAGGTCGCTAATGGCCAAGCCGGGTCAAAACAGGTTTGTTTCCGAGATCTCAAAAAAACTGATGGCCCAGGACCCTGATCTTAGTAGCAAATGATGCCCTATATATTTATCTAAGGTTAGCCAAACTTTTGTAGCGTCTGCCTAATACCCTTTTTAAATATAGATTTTTAAATATTTATGTCATTGCAGAAATCGTGACTTTGGCAATTACTCCATAAAATACTGGTTTTAGGTCATAGCATGCTATAGTAAACTACCCCAAACATATACTCAAGACCGCCAAATCAAAAGTCAAATTTGACCTTGACCATCATTTTCAAGGACATTCAGCTATTTCATGGAGAATATTGACGTGGGCTAAAAGTGATGTTTTGTTGACCCCCCCCCCCCCCATTCGCATATGCTCTTTCAGAATATGGGGTCAAATTTAAGCTGTGACCTTCACATGACCTTGTTAGTGCCCATTGCCTTCAAGTTCAAAGGTCATTTGCAGGGGAATCCTCCGTCACTGGCTTCAGCCAGTTGCAGTCTAGTTATAGTATTAATTCATTTATTTGTTTTGTATTAAGCATGGGAAATCCATACAGTTACAATTACATAACTTTGATAAAGTTCACTTACTAAACTTCGCCTTTACAATGTCGTGTGAATATGATGCAGTGACGACGATTCTAGCTTCCCCTTCAATAAGAGCTGTACTTTTCAAGTCATCCAGCAGCAGACTGGTCAGGAGGAAGTGACCTGGGAATTAAAGCTGTCAGATAACACTTTTGTCTTCATTCACATTTCACATAAACCACTAAAAGAATTCATTTCTAATAAACAGAAAGTGATTCCATTAATTACAATTAACTTATCCTTGTACAGCTTGCTTCTCTTACATCAGTAACATGTATGTCACTAGTTCACACATATATCAATCAATCTGTATGTTGTTTGGCAATTATATATAAAATAAAGTCTTTTCAGGCGTAGAAATTACGTAATTTGCACTGCCACAATTATTCAATTTAAGCTTCTAAAATTACTTCATTTCATTTTATTAGAAGGATTCACAATAAAAGCGGCCGGCATCGGCCAAAATTCGACCATCATACTTGTGCTGGTCACTTTAATGCTTTTTTCCGACATCGTATTGAACTTTTTTCGATCAAGGAGACATAAATGTAAATGCTAGGTGAACATTGTGACTGAAGAAACAAACATGAATATGCATACTGTAAAATCATTAATGAGAACACCATGAAATTTTCATGAAAATCTGAAAATCACTTATAAACAGAAAAAAAATTTAATTCACCCAAATTATCTGTTTCCATCATACAATTGTAACTTACCCAGTATGATTTCTTTGAAATTTACCCTAATTAGTTCCAATGGTAACTTACTAAATAATCTGATACCATAGTAACTCACCCAGATTTGTTCCCATGGTAACTTACCCAGATGGTTTGTTGCCATAGTAACTTCAAAGCCATCCTCGGTAATCTGTGGTGTGTTGCAAGTGTTGCCCACAAACATCCCTGCGTTGTTACATAGCACATGAAGCTTGCGTCCGCTGGCGTGGAAATTCTCCACAAATTTGTGAACAGATGCCATACTTGACAGGTCCAACTGGAAATAAAATAACACTTTCAGAGGAAGCTTCAATTGGTAAAAACTGTGGATAAATGTCTTTATTAAATGGTGATATATCCTGCCTTCTTGAAGTGCAGTAAATATTACTTTAATAATCATCAATTAGCTTCACAAGTGCTAACTCATGATATTTCAAATGTTCCGTTAAAATCTGGTAACTCATTTTTGTTTTCATATGTAATATATCTGACACAGGCAATGACATGAATAAAAGATACTATAAATACCTAAAGTGAGACTTTATCAACTGCTCCATCAAAAAAGTCCTTAAGGATCCTCCAAGATCCTAAAGAATTCTAAAGAAAATTGGCCCAATTCCGTATAGGGTCTTATGGGACCCTGAAGGACATTTTGTAAGGGTTAGACTTTGTAAACTGAAGTACTCACATTCATGTAGACCACATCTGCATTGGGGCTTTCCTCTTTGATGGTCTTCACAGCTTCCTGTCCTCTCTCCTCAGATCTACAGGCTAAGATCACTGTATACTTGTCTCCTGATCTACACAGGATTCTGGCTGCTGCAAACCCAATGCCTGTATTGGCTCCTGTGATAATGATTGTCTTCTTACTCATACTGGGACTATAGACACTTCACAACTTGACTATACTGATAGCTGTAAGGGAAATAACATTATAGCTTTTATATTTGATCAGGACCATAAAGTCAACTGGTCAAATCACTAATTAAGCAACCATGTTTTATATGGATATTTACTGCTTCTGTTCAGATATTGACATTACTCATAAGGCATCCTACAGCACTCATGTCCTGACAAAATGTCTCAGAAATAATTTTAAAAGGGATATGACGTGGGTGATGGAACATGGTGTGGTGTAGCATGGTATGGCATGGAGTGGCATGGCATGGAGTGGCATGGTATGGCATGGTGTGGTGTGGCATGGTGTGGCATGGCACCGTATAGTGTATTGTGGCAAAGCATGGAATGGCATGGTATGGTCATAGAATGGTATGGTGTGGCATGGCATGGTGTGGCATGGTATGGTATGGTGTGGAATGGCATGCCATGGCATGGTGTGGCATGGTGTGGTGTGGCATGGCATGGTATGGTGTGGTGTGGCATGGTATGGTGTGGCATGGCGTGGTGTGGTGTGGCATTGTGTGGCATTGTGTGGTGTGGCATGGCATGGTGTGGTGTGGTGTGGCATGGTATGTCATGGCATGGTGTGTCATGGCATGGTGTGGCATGGT